AAACAATACGTTATTGTGTTGTAAGTCAGAGACGCACTCTAAAACATCGAAACAATACGTTATTGTGTTGTAAGTCAGAGACGCACTCTAAAACATCGAAACAATACGTTATTGTGTTGTAAGTCAGAGACGCACTCTAAAACATCGAAACAATACGTTATTGTGTTGTAAGTCAGAGACGCACTCAAAAACATCAAAACAATACGTTATTGTATTGTAAGTTAGAGACGCACTCTAAAACATCGAAACAATACGTTGTTGTGTTGTAAATCAGAGACGCACTCTGAAACATCGAAACAATACGTTATTGTGTTTAAAGTCAGAAACGCACTCTAAAACATCGAAACAATACGCTATTGTGTTGTAAGTCAGAGACGCACTCTAAAACATTGACATAGCGGTATGTCTGCGGGCTTTCAACTCTAGAAACCGGGTTTCGATACCCGTGGTAGGCAGAGTACAGATAGCCCACTGTGTAACTATACTCGGTTGCAATAAGACAGTCTACCATAGTTATCCATATTGTACAAAGCTACCCTTTTACGCTGAGATTTAAAAGGAAGGAAAAAAATTGTAACGAAAAAGCCTTGACTTTTCCCACATTTTTGCCGACCCTGCAACTTAGGACTAAATGGACACAGCAAGTTGCATCTTACATCACGTAACAACACACAAAGTAGGTCTAAAGACGTATTTCGTATTTGTGGTGATAACTGGCTCCCTTCTCGATCATTATCTTATCAACGAGTAGCTTTGCACAAAACAAACAACCTTATCGTATTGCCTCCTGGTGGTTCAGCATTACGTCTGGGGATTTAGAGCACTAAAAATCGAGTTTCGATACTCACGGTGGGCAAAGTACAGAGATATAATTGTGTAAAGTTGCGCTTGACAACAAGCAAACAGAACTAACAGTACTGATGATTTTCTCCAATAACGGCCGAGTAACACTAGCCTCTGATGAAAGCGAGCTACCTACAATGTTTCGTCATTAGTCCCGCCTCAACTTCTAATCATGTCTTCGTTAAATTTACACGGCCATATTAAAAAGGCAGATTGGGATGATTGGATGATTTGGGTTATTACTGGAATACTCACCATTAGGCGGCAAAAATTTGTTTGTTTTGAATTTCGCGCAAAACTACATGAGGGCTATCTGCGCTAGCCGTCCATAATTTAGCAGTGAAAGACTAGGGGAAAGGCAGCTAGCTATCACCACCCACCGCCAACTCTTAGGCTACTCTTTTTACCAACGAATAATGGGATATAACGCACCCACGGCTGAAAGAGCGAACATGTTTGGTGGCACGGGGATTCGAACCCGCGACCCTCAGATTACGAGTCAAGCGCCCTAACCGGGCCCAAAATTAATTTATTTATGGAATTTCGCAAAAAGCTATACGGGACTATATGTGCTAGACGTCTGTAATTTTTAGACATCACCCACCGCCACCTCTTGGAATGCTCTTGTAAGATCGAATAGTTCGAAGCGCGATCAGCTTTTTGCGGTAACGAAACACAAACCAGGAAATCCCAGCTTCTCAGTCCGGCGAAACAATATAGTTTACTATTCCAAGTGTTTAGTGTGTTTAGAAACATATCTAAAACAGCAGTTTACATAAGTACTGTTATCTTATTTTACTATCTTCCTACATGCAATATTTGAAGCAGTTAATTAATGATTACTATTACCAGATGGGGCCAGTGTACCATCATAACTTTTTGAGTAACTTAAGGTGGAAATATTAGGCTGATTCTATTGGCTATAAAACATCAACAAATGGGCGTGGTTTAGTAATCATAGGTCAAGATGTCCAATTACAGCTGCTTGGCAGGTAGTGAAATTATTAGTTCTCTGCCAATTAGAGAATATATTATTCAGCTTAGTAACTACGTCTACAACCAGCGCTTGAAGTGGGGAGGGGGAAGAGGAAAAGGTTTAGGTTTGTGGACTTTTTTGAACCTGGATATTGTATTTCTCGTTTTTCAATGGTACTCTGTATTTATTATCATGAAAATAACTAAAATGTAAAAATTAGAAACTTATCAGGTTAGATTAGGTAAGATAATGAAAAAGTAATAATAATAATAATTCTTCACGAGGTATCCTCACGAGCAGCTCGTGTGTTACGATATTTGATAAGGTAATGTGAGCTGCACGTTCGCCGATTGATTTACAACTTGTGTGGCGGTATTATTAATTACACACAGTTCAAAGAGCAATAAAACAATAAACTTAAGTATAAACAGGTGTATGTTGTGCAAGATATCGTATGGAAACTCTGATGGTTACGTTATGGTAGGGTGAACAGATTTCCAAACCAAAAAACCGGGATAATCTAGCCTAATTTCAAAATGGCTGTTAGAAATGTGAAATAATTTAACTTTAACTTACTTTAACTTCATTGAATTGTTCCAAATACATTAACATTGTCATTGTTCTTGAAATAATTTTAACTACTTTTTCTGGTGATAGACACAAAACAAATGAGCAGAAATAGTCAAATTTTACACCCAAGAAATATTTAATTATTCACTTTATCCAATTCATCTTAAAATAGGCTATTTCATACATAGATTTATTTAAGAATCCATATCATTTTGAAACATACTATTTTAGGTTTTAGTATTACTTTGAACATGTTAAGACATATTTTTGTGAAGAATGAATAGAACTTGGAAGTTCTGTTTTGTTTTTCATTAAATAGTAAAAGATTTCAGTACATAACTTTGTAAAGTGTGTTTCGACGATGAGCATTGCCTTAACTGTCTCCACATTCAGACCTGGGTTTCTCACCACTCACAAATGGAACTTTCGAGAGGATTTAGCGGCAGGAGAGTACGTGTTACAACAGTGAGCAACTTACGTAGGCCTAGTACATTCGTAATTCGATGTGACTGATAGTTTGATGTCTTTATCATAAAACTGGGACGTTTTATGTGTTCCGAGAACTTTTCTTGGGACGGTGGGATAAACTACCAAAACACGGGTTGTCTAGTCACCCTAAGTGTGTTCTATATCTTTTCACCTAAAAATCATTTAAAAAATTTTTTACAACTTATTTGGCGTTGCTAGGTGCCTAAAAGATTCGGGGCTCTGTCTAATAGAATCGAATCTAGTAACGCTTCTGCGCCCCACTTAAATCACTGCCTACAACCAAGGAAAGACAAAGGCTGTAATGCTTATTCAAAACGATGGTGGTCAATATTATCTAATGAAAACTGCGTCAATAATAACACAATGTTTCACTTGTTATATATGTTGTATTTGGGAACCATATTTGGCTTCAATGATCTTCATAACGCCCGCTGTTGTTAAATAGAGTTATGTAAGAAAGGAAACTATTTTAAATATGCAAGTATATTTTATTTAAATATATTCATTTCCCCAATTTCTTTTTACAAAACACAGGGGTTAGTAAACTAATGCGCAGTGGTTCATACTTATCGCACGTGCGAATAACAAAATGTATATGTAAATTGTATAGTCTGTTTGTTTGTAATTAAGCACAAAGTTACACAATGCTCTGCCCACCACCGGTATCGAAAACTGGTTTCTAGCGTTGTAAGTCTGATCATCAGTGGGACAACTTGGGTATTAGAAAAGTATTATATTTCTAATTCTGATCATCAGTGGGACAACTTGGGTATTAGAAAAGTATTCTATTTCTCATTCTGATCATCAGTGGGACAACTTGGTTATTAGAAAAGTATTATATTTCTAATTCTGATCATCAGTGGGACAACTTGGGTATTAGAAAAGTATTATATTTCTAATTCTGATCATCAGTGGGACAACTTGGGTATTAGAAAAGTATTCTATTTCTCATTCTGATCATCAGTGGGACAACTTGGTTATTAGAAAAGTATTATATTTCTAATTCTGATCATCAGTGGGACAACTTGGGTATTAGAAAAGTATTATATTTCTTATTTTGATCATCAGTAGGACAACTTGGGTATTGGGAAAAGTATTATATTTCTAATTCTGATCATCAGTGGGACAATTTGAGTATTAGAAAAGTATTATATTTCTTATTTTGATCATCAGTGGGACAACTTGGGTATTGGGAAAAGTATTATATTTCTAATTCTGGTCATCAGTGGGATAACTTGGGTATTAGAAAAGTATTATATTTCTTAAATACCCAAGTTGTCCCACTGATGATCAGAAGGGAAAAGTATTATATTTCTAATTCTGGTCATCAGTGGGACAACTTGGGTATTAGAAAAGTATAATATTTCTAATTCTTTTCATCGGTTGGTGCTTGAGTATTGGGAAAGTATTATATTTTTACTTATGGTTGATTAAGTACATGCATTTCAATAAAAAGGTTACTTCAAATTCATTATTTATGGACAATATAAAATTCAATACGTGGGTGAGGATAAATTTACAGTTGGGATTATTTCACGTGACAAGATTTTTATCAACCGTTTGCTTCAGTTGATTACCCTGAGAACAGGAGAAGGGTCACGTTTTACATACTGAAAGGGAGTTGTGGTTTTCTTAAGGGGTGGTAATACATGAACGAAACGAAACAATGGTAGCACGTGTTCAGTTCCTTAGTGTCTTACAGCTGTTCCATACAGATCTGGTTCATGGATAGGATAGAACCTGAAGGGTTCTAGTTGTTCCACTTATTAGTGTATTATATATGCATACTTGCATTCACACTAAGTATGATGTGTACAGCTATATATCACCTGGTTTACAGTATACGACCAGATAATAACTTATTGTCATGGAAGTATTCATCTACTAAACACAATAGGTGAAAATATATCCAATAATACCTTTGCTCTTTACTGTGATTTTTATCGATGCTATCATAAGCAGCCTCTATTATATATTAAAACGGATACTATACTGTCGCTTTCATTAAAAATTATATTTGCATTACCTATAAAATCTCAGCCTACACCGTAATTTATTTAAATTTTATGTTAACTGAATAATACATTGCTATGCCCTATTACCCTTACAAGTATTTATTTCCCCTCTGACTGAACAATATATATTTTGGAAGTTATTTTCATGCAGAGTATAACTAATATTTTGCAGGCTAATCATTACATTTTGGTCTACTATGATTGTTACACTTTATGCAGCCTAAATTTATTGTTATGGGTTGTATCTGGCGCCATCTCTTGTCTGAAAACAGAGGTACTGGTTTATACTTTATCTCGCAACATATTTTTTTCCAGCCATCTTCTAGGAAAAGAAAAAACATTTCAGGTGGACAACTTTTTGCTTCAGTTTGTTTCTTTAGTGACATGTTTGACTGTATGACAACCACTCAATTAATGATTTAAAAAGTCAAATAATTTCATGGAAATTTTATTTTAACGACTTTTATTGTATTACATATAATTTTTTTTATCAATTCCAGTAAAAAAAAAGTTGTTCACTTAACTATTTCCTTCTTAAATCAATATTAACAACATATATATCATTAAAGAAAAGAAAGCACCAATAGGTTTGACGATTTTAAAGAAAAAGTGAAACCAGTTTTTAATTCCGACTTTAAAAGGAAACAAATTTTGTAATTATATAATAGATTTTTTAAGTAATATACCTATTAAAACATATTATAGATTCTCAGTTATATAGGCATCACATTAGTAAGTTACACACAATTGAAGTTCCACGTTTTAGCTATGGTAAGCCAGATTTGTTGGATTTCACACAAATCTACTCTTAAGGCTTCCTGCACCAGCTGTCCTTAATTTTGAAGATATAGATGGGACTGAAGCTAATCAACACATCCACCACTACTCATGGGCTAATCAAATAGTATAATTTGACTGTCACTCTCATAATGCATCAATGGATCCAAAAATGCAGAGTTCAAATCACGAAACGTAGTCGAGCATTCAAACCACTGGGTCACGTTCAGATCTTTTCTCAAGTAATCTAAATAATTCTTCACCTACAGCATCCATTGATCAAATAATACACTGGTGTAAGTCGAGTAAAGAACTTAAATTTGTAAGTTTAGTGCAAATATTACACTTTAATGTACTAAATGAGACAAATTAAAATTTGACAGTTACACAAGTTTTGTCTTCATTATTAATTTACATGCTCACGTGGAACCGAGAGGAGTTACTAAAACATCATCCCGAGCGACTTGTGCACGGAACAGGTAGAAAACATCTATATACTGTTCATTATGCCAATTTTATGGGCCAGAACAATTCTGATCAAATCGGTAAAGAAAATCAACTAATGGTGCAACATTTATAAATACACAACTTTGTTGAGGCTATTGAAGATAACCTCTAATTTTAAGTCCCCCACCCCCATCATTTCTCATCACATTTTTAATTAGAATATTAGATCATAGTTCATCAGCTCCCCTTTCCACTCACAAAAATTCAGTTGAGATTATGGCAGAAATTGAAAAATACTGTTCTGTGTCTGCTAGTACAGATGTTCATAGAACGGTATGGCATCAATACTCAGGTGCCTAGCTTAAGCTGACATCACAAACTATTAAAATCATTATTCATCTGGGATTCTGTTCTGTGTCTGCTAGTACAGATGTTCATAGAATGGTATGGAATCAATACTCAGGTGCCTAGCTTAAGCTGACATTACAAACTATTAAAATCATTATTCATCTAGGATTCTGTTCTGTGTCTGCTAGTACAGATGTTCATAGAATGGTATGGCATCAATACTCAGGTGCCTAGCTTAAGCTGACATTACAAACTATTAAAATCATTATTCATCTAGGATTCTTTTTCGTTATCAACAAACTATTGTTTTGGCTTTGTCCTAAATTCAAAAAGACCAACAAAAAGAAACTCCACAATACCAATAAAAGTTGAAGAGTTTTTGTTTTATAAGTGGAAAAGCAATAAAGGAGAGCTATTTTAGTACTACTTTTAGGTAATAAACTTATATTGTGTGTCTATATATAACACTGAAATGAAAGGAGATTTAACAAAGCTAGACTTACCAAATCAACAAGACAATATATATAACGAATGCCTTTTATTGCATCGGAAAAGTTGCTAACTGGAGGATATAGCAAGATACTAATCCAGTTTCTTGACCACAAAAACAATATAAAACACCTGAAAGTTGAATATCACATAATACAAATCTCTTACAAAAGCATATTGCAACACAACATAATACATGTTTATTTGTGGAAGGTGCAACATAAGAATACATAATACATAACAATGAATAAGCTGAAAAATCTTAAAGAAATCCAAGTAAAAAGCTTATGTAATAAAGTGTATTTTCCTTTCTCTAGCCGAGAAAAACAAATAACTGGACAACACCAAATGTTATTTTCAGTTAACAAACCTAGCAAGTTCATAAAAGTTACTTTTCTTAAAATCCTTTTTTTTTGCATGTGACAAAATAACCATATATAGTACATCTGATCAAATATCAACATAAAAGGGTAATAGTTGTAAATATATTAAACTCATTGTTAACATTCTATAATAAAGTTCCAACTTATATTTGAGCTGATGCTTTTCATTTAACAGAGAAAAATAAGATACAATTCACGTACTCTTATAAAACTTTTATTTGTACAAGTATGTTTATACAAGGTAAGTATTTATTTATAGATTATATTCTCTATCTTTCCTACTTTCAAGAAGTAGAAAGTAAAATATAAAGCCAGAAATTTATGTCGTCCTTTTCGTTTTTGACATGTAATTGCACTTTCTATGTCTACACTTTTGGCCTGCTGCTCTCTTTGGCGGTAATGTTCTTCAGTTGTCTTTTGTTAAAGCACTCGATAGAACCCAGTAAAGCCTTGCGGTCAGAATCACATGACAGAGGGCCATTCCTACTAACTGGATTTAATGGAGAAATTAAGGATTCAGGTGGTGGTGGTGGGGGAGGAGGAGGAGGTGGAGGGACTTTTTGGACATTAGAAGACTCTTCTGCAAGAATAGAAACAAAGTTATCAAATTTGATAACAATGAAATAGTTTCTATTAAGAACGGGTTCATTTAATAAATACTTTATAACAAATGAATATTAATTGTTATAATCATAACAATTTATAGTCTCAGGTAATTGTTTAGCTGAACAATGATTTATTTATGAGATTCCAAACATGAAGTTATTTATTCACGTAAAAATAACATCACCACAGTGAACAGAGGAGTAAATAAATGTATTATAAAGGTTAACTGCACATAAAGAAAATATCTTTTCATTCAAATGTCAAATTGGTTACAGTTCCCTAGTCTCCAACTTATCTGTAATGCAGCTGATGACGCTCACATACCAGATTGATTACAAACACTTACTTTATAATATTAACGTACGAAAATTTAAAAACTTTTGTTTTTGTAATGCATTAATATTTCAGTGTACAAGAAAAGCATATTAAAAGTACATGCATCAATTTACATCCAAATGTACATAAACTTTCCATTAAGAATAATTTCTCAAAATATACGGCCTATATCAATCTTTCATAATCTGATTATATATATATTTTAAAAAGTTCAGTAACACAATGAACATTCACACACAGGCACATTACTTACTGTATTCTATTTATTTATGATATATATATTTTTTTTTTTCTACATTCTACAAGAATCTCATGCCATCATTATAGTGTCCTAATACACAGAGGAAAGTAAAAACCACATTTGCACAAACACGATGTATGAATTTCTCCACAAAAATCAAATGTTTCTGGAAGTGCTAAACTAATGTTCTACTGATTATACTTTATTAGAGGAAAGCCATACAGAGGTTAGTGAGTAAATGCTGCCTCCAATCAGATTCAAGTTTACTATAAAAAATAAAATTTCATAGAGACATCCAGATATTTGAAAACAACAGTAAAATTTATATATATGTGTATGTTTTGGAAATCTTAAAAAAAAGATAACACATGGAAAAGAAGGATAGCGTGAAACTTATGCAGTATATCAAAACCTTAGATGAAATATAATTAAATGTAATTTTATGGGGGGGAAAAAACTGAAAGAATAAATAATAAATTGCAGCCACAATACCAACATCCAACATTGGAGCACCTTATGATTTGTGCCCCAGTGTTGGATGTTTGTAATATGGCTAAGATTTTTTTCCCCCATAAAATTACATTTAGTTATATAAATATAATTAGTACTACTTAATTACATGTATAAAACTTGTATAAATTTAAGATTCTCAAACTACACTAAAAGTTGAACACTTGCAAGTAAATGCAATACGTCTTCCTCATCTAACTTATTAAATAAGATCCTCATAATACAATAGTTTTCAAGAAAGAATGGTATTCAAGGCAAGGAAAGGGGTATAAAACAATGACATATTGAGGTAAACTAAATTATGACCTTATAATATACAGAGCATTCAGTTTCTCTGTAAATAAGTTTATTCATAAAGACCAATTCTTTCACACCATATTTGCAATTGTATGCACAACTGTATAAATTAAACTTTTACTCTTGTAAAGATACTAGGCACAAATCCCACACATGGCTGCTTTGTGCAAAGTTTCATTTACATTGGTTGAGATATAAACAGTAGGCCAAACTCCTAATTCTGTAACATTTTCTGATCTCTGATTCTCGTAAAATTACAAGAAAGACAAAGTCTCACTTAGACTGGTCTACATATATACATAGAAGTAAACGAATGGCAGGACTAAATTTTCATCTTTGATACACATAAAACTGTAAGAAAAGCACAAGTCTCATATCTATCTGCTTTACTTTGTGGAAGTTGTTCTAAGGTATCTTAATGCAGTCTGATCTGAATTGGTCAAAATATAAAAACAAAGAAAGCCAAAAACCCTAATTTTGCAATTCTTTTTTACCTTTGATACTTGTAAGTTCAAAAAGAAAGACACAAATCCTAAATTTATCTGATTTAGTGTACTAGTACTCTATGTATTGTACAATTCAGGTATTTATTTTATATTTTCATAAACATTAGTTTTTGACTGTACTATTGATAATTTCCTGCTACTTGATTCCACATGTAGATACATATACTCATTCCTGCATCTCTACCCTAATGGACATAAAATAGAAATGCAGCTAAAGCATATAATTTAATGTTTTATTCACTTATCTTGGATGATTTAATGCTTGACCAATCAGCAGTATACTCAGATAAAAAAAAAAACCTTACCCTAATGTATTTTTTTGTATATATATTTTTTCTAAGTCTTTTGTTTGTTTGTTAGGGTTAGTATCCAATATGATTGGTTTGTTAT